TGGGGTTGCATGAGCGCTTGTGGCATGGGCAGCTTGCATGTCTGGAAAGGCACCATTAATGCAGAGAACTATGTTCAGGTTCTAGAACAACATATGCTCCCATCTAGACGTCATCTCTTTCAGGGAAGACCCTGCATTTTTCAACACGATAATGCCAGACCACATTCTGCAGCAATCACAACATCATGGCTACGTAGGAGAAGGATCCAGGTACTGAAATGTCCAGCTTGCAGTCCAGATCTTTCACCTATAGAGAACATTTGGTGCATCATAAAGAGGAAGGTGCGACAAAGAAGGCCCAAGACGATTGAACAGTTAGAGGCCTGTATTAGACATGAATGGGAGAGCGTTCCTATTTCTAAACTTGAGAAACTGGTCTCCTCTGTCCCCAGACGTCTGTTGAGTGTTGTAAGAAGGGGGGATGCCACACAGTGGTAAAAATGGACTTGTCCCAACTTTTTTGGGATTTGTTGACGCCATGAAATTTGGAAAAAACAGATTTTTCCCTTAAAATGATACATTCTCTCAGTTTAAACTGTTGATCTGTGATTTGTGTTCTATTCTGAATAAAATATTAGATGTTGGCACCTCCACATCATTACATTCAGTTTTTATTCTCAATTTGTTTAGTGTCCCAACTTTTTTGGAATCTGGTTTTTAGAAATAATATCAAATGAAAACTATTCAGTTTTAACAATTCAAGGAAATGAGGTCAGTTTGTCCTCAAGTAGTCTAAGCTGAAAATCAAGGTCCTAGAGTCTGGAGGAAGAGTGGAGAGACCCAGAGAGACCCACAAATTTCACAAAGTGAAACTCATAAATTACATAGATTCATTACTCACAGTGAAATATTTCAAGCCATTATTTCTTGTAATTTTGATGATTATGTTTTACAAATAATTAAAAAACAACATTCAGTGTCTCTTAAAATTAGAATATTCCACTGCCAGCTTTCAGTACCTTTGGCAGAGTGGGCATGAGCCAAGTCCTCTGGAAAATGAAATCAGCTTCTCCGTAAAGCTCGTCAGCATGAGGAAGCATGAAGTTTTTAAAATGTCCTGGTAGATGCTGCACTGACCCAGGACTTCAGAAAACACAGTGGACCAACACCAGCAGAGGACATGGACCCAAACCGTCACGGACAGTGGAAACATCACTTAAAGCAACGTGGATTCTGTTCCTCTCCACTCTTCCTCCAGACTCTGGGACCTTGATTTCCAAATTACATTAAAAATTACTTTCATCTGAAAAGAGGACATTGGACCACTGAGCAACAATCCAGTTCTTTTTGTCATCAGCAGGTAAGACGCTTCTGACATTTCTGGTTCAGGAGTGGCTGGACTTGAGGAATGAGACATTTGTAGCTCATGTTTAGGAGTTAATCAGTTGATTAGGGTGTGACACCATGAGTTTACCATATTGAACCTCTTCACAATATTCTAATTTTCTGAGATGCTTAATTTCAATTTTCCATTGTCTGTTAGCCATAATCTATCAAAATTACAAGAAATAAAGTCTGGGAATATTTCACTGTGTAATGAATCTATGTAAAATACAAGTTTCACTTTCTGAAATGAGTGACAAAAAACATTGAATTTTTTCAAATTTTCAGTCACCATGATGCATGTTAAAGTTCATGACAGAACATGGGACATGGAAAAGACAGAACATGCATGGATTTCTTTGGAGTGGTTGCCAGACGTAAGACTACTCAAAAATATATGGCGACATGGTTTAGATTTGTAAAGTTGCATCTGAACAAACAAGACTTCTTGTTTTCCAGGACATCCTTGTAAAAGAGATTGATGCTCTCAATGGATTTCTTCCTGGTAAAATAAAAATATAAAAAAACTAACAAAAAACAAACAAACTTCTGGGTCATTGACTTTTAGATGATCTTAGTGGAGATGTAAAAGGACAATAAAATTCCAAGCCACATGGTGGGGGACTGATGATTTAAACTTGCTTTACAGCCACATCATCTGAGGACCTTGCAGTAATTGAGTTAACTATAAACTCTTCTGTATAACAAAGTGAACTAAAGTCTAATGGGAAGCGATCTGTCCAACAGCTGCAGCTCAGTCAGAACTTGGTCAGGGAACAGGATGATGATCTAACGCCACAAATCTAAAATAAAATCTCCAAACAAAAGGTGTTGCAATGACTCACTTAAAATTCACACTTCAACCCAACTGCAAGGCTGTAGTATCTTTGGAAAGCTGTGCTCAAATACACTGCATCCAGAAAGCATTCACTGTGCTACACTTTCCCCACATTTTGTTATCTTACAGCGTTATTCCAAATTGTATTAAATTAATCTTTCCTCAAAATTCTACACACAATACCTCATTATAACATGTGAAAAAAGATCAAAGTTCATACCATACCAGCTTTATTTATAGAGCACTTTAAACACCCACAGGACCAAAGTGCTGTACAGTACACATAATAAAACAATCATACAATCAGATAATAAAAGCCATTTAAAATGATTAAAAGTCAACATCTCAGATGGTGTCAAAGGCCAGGAAGAAGAGATGGGTTTTAAGAAGGGATTTAAAATCAGACAGAAGAGGCCTGTCTGATGTTCAATGGAAGGTCGTTCCACAGTTTAGTTGCTGCCACAGTAAAAGCACGGTCTCCTCTGAGCTTACGCTTTGTCTTCGGCACACTCAGAAGAAACTGATCACATGACCTGAGGGATCGAGAGGGTGTAGCAACTTGGACAGAGAGGGTAGGGCAAGTCCATTAAGAGCTTTAAAAAACAAATAAAATCATTTAAAAATGAATCCTAAAATGTACGGGCAGCCAGTGCAGGGAGGCTCAAACGGGAAATGTGGTCAAACTTTCGTGTGCCAGGTAAAAGCCGTGCAGCAGCATTCTGTACCTTCTGAAGCTGAGAGATACATGAGTCACCGATTCTCGTATAGAGTGCAGCTGAGAAAGAATCAGCTTCACTTTAGCTGCCTCAGATGGAAAAAAAACTAGTTTTAACAACGGCTCTGTGATTTTCTAGTTTTAGTCCAGCATCGACTTTGACCCTCAGATTTGTAACATTTGGCCTGATGTACTGGGGCAAGGAACCAACATCTACATTGGGAGTCTCAATGGAGCTTCCAAAGACCATCACCTGATCAGTGATGTGATCAGTGTATAACACTGATGTTACACATGTTATGTGTAACACAATATACATGTCTACACATGATATACACATGTATGTGTATATCATGTATGTGTACACATGATATACACAGGAATGTTACACGGTGTTATAAAGCCACTTTGTGTCTCCATAACACTGATCACTGATCACAGTCCATTATCCATCAGACTGTCACCTCATTGAACTTTAAGAAGTTCACAGCCATCCGTTTTTATGTCCTCCAGACCATCCAGCCTGATGGACCTTGAGAAGTACTGTAAAGAAGAATGGGACAAACTGCTTAAAGATGGTGTGCTAAGCTTGTGGCATCATATTCAAAAAGACTTGAGGCTGTAATTGCTGCCAGAGTCAGAGATTCTTTATTGCCATTCTCACCACGTGGTACATGTGGTGGAGCGAAATTATGTACACAGGGTCCCAGTTACATCCAACAATAAAATGTAAAAGAAAAACAGTAATAGCATCTAAGATATGAACTAAGAAAAACATCAACTAAAAATACACTAAGCACTAATAACATAAAAAAACATTACCTTGAACAGCAGTAGAACATGAGCATGAGTCTGTGTGAGCAGATGAGCACGCATGAACACGGCAACATGAAACAGATCATCAGCAACACAATGTGATTTGTCACAGTGATTATTCTGGTTAGAGATTCATGCATCTAACAGCCTCAGGGTAGAAGCTGTTCCTCAGTCTAGTGGTTCTACACTTAATGCTCCTAAACCTCCTTCCTGAGGGGAGCGGGGCAAAAAGTGTGTGTGCTGGGTGAGTGGGGTCCTTCATGATGCAGGTGGCCCTCTTCTTGCATCTGGAGGTGTGGATGTCTGATGGTGGGGAGACTGACTCCAACAGTCTTCTGTGCAGCCTTCACCACTCTCCGCAAAGCTTTTCTTTCTGCAGCTGTGCAGCCTCCATGCCACATGTTGATGCTGGAGCACAGGATGCTGTAGAAGGAGGTGAGGACTGAGCTTCCCAGACCAGCTCGCCTCAGCTGCCTGGGGAAGTAGAGTCTCTGATGAGCTTTCTTGATCAGGCTGGTGGTGTTGTTGCCCCAGCTGAGGTTGTCATTCATGTGTACACCACTTCCACTGCAGATCCTCTTATGTTCAGTGGGGAGTAGGTGTGTTTGTTCCTTCTGAAGTCCACAATCAGTCATCGGAGCCAAATGTGGATCAACAAAGTTATAAGCAAAGGCTGTGAATACTTATGTAAATGTGATTTCTTAGTTTTCTATTTTTAATAAATCTGCAAAAATTTCAATCTTTTTTTTGACATTGTCATAATGGGGTATTGTGTGTAGAATTTTGAAGAAACATTCATTTAATACAGTTTGAAATAAGGTTGTAACGTAACAAAGTGTGCAAAGAGTGAATTGCTGTGAATACTTTCTGGATGCACTGTAAATGTCATCATATATCAATGAACAAAAGTTCCCATAATGTTGTGGGACCTTATTAGGTTTCCACAACAATGTGGAGTCTAACAAGGTCATTTGGAAGATGATTACGCAACTCAGCAGGCAAAGGTGGTTCTACAGGCTTGTCGCACTCTATTTTTATTTTTGATTTTTTGTAATAAAATTTGTGTATACAGTGGCATAGCTTGTTTATCTAACATTGCATTTACTTTTTTAAACACCAATTTTTGTCATGGTCTGTAAAACTTCTGTGTGCTTTTATTGTGATTATTGGGTGTAAATGTCACGTACAAACAGAATAAAAGCTCAAAGAAGGTCTTTGTTGGCTCAAGAGGTGCATTGTTGTGGTCATTGTCGCTGAGGTTTTTGTTGTCTTTTCTTATTAAAATTCTAGAACAGTACATTTGATACAAAGAAAAGCACTGATATGTGATACCTTTAGGAGGCTTGTGACGTGATACCCTTTATTTTTCTGCTGACCATCTACAGCTGCTGCAATAAATGAATCTTTCTGCTCTTCCAGCTGGTGGTTTAATGTTGGTCTGATACTCCTTGGGATCAGCTTATCTCTGGCAATGTTTTGCATTGTGTACCTGGAGTGGTTCAAAGGCATCAAGCACTATGACCAAGAATATCCTGCCATTCCTCCCATTACCACTGCGGCCTTTATCGCTGCATCATGCAGGTAAAGTACCAACACAAACATCTTTTTCCACCATTACAACAACTTGGCAATGAGGAAACATGATCTCATCTGTTCAGCTAAGTGAGTGGTAGTCGAGAGAAAGCGACACTTGATAGGCTTATAGACCAAGTACAAAAATGGCTTGCTTTAGAAGTTTCAAAGAACATAATTCATGACCTACTTGACTATACCTGCACCTCTCATTACTTTTTACTGCAGCTACAGATCACCCAAAATCAAATCTGCACAGCTGATTATGTACAAGCTGGCAGGTCTTCAAGTCCTTGCATTGGATCTGAACAATCCATGCTTGCTTTAGTTTGAGTACTTTGGATAGTAAACTGCCTCCTTTCTGTTGTGGCAGTTAGCAAGATGCAGGTAAATAAATTGTGCACCGCTCCTAGAGGGAGCTGTGATTAATGCACTCTTTGTGTGACTCCCTGTACCTGTCCCTGACATCAGTACAATGATAATTCAGTAAAAATTCATGTACTTTGCAAGTGTCATATTTTGAAAATACAGTTTTTGACAAGCATTTTCATTAGGACTTTTGCATTGATTCTGTCAATTTAGTTTTTCTAGTTTGCCTGTTGTTACCAATCATGCCATTTTAAGAAGGTCCATAAGTTGGACATTTCAAACCTTATAACCTTGACAGTGCGATTGTTCACTGGTAAAAATGTGATTATAGTTATAAAACCCCTAAAGCTTGAGACTGAAAGGGTGTTGTAGCCTTAAAACATATAATACAGGAAGTTCTTTGCACAGTACAAACTAACTTCAATATGCAGTTCTATTTCATATAGGCTTCGCCCTTTAAGGCTATCGCTAGTGGGTTTATCCCTTCGTGCGCAGTGCAGCACTGAAAACTTTAGTCCACGCCCATCTGCTGTGTGGGCCTCACCCCGGGTCTGAATAAATTACGGTGAGACCGGGTAATCGGCTCCCATTTTTTCTTCAGCCAGCTAGCTAGCACTGTCAGAAGAACGAAGAAGGAAAAGATGTCCAGCTTTGACCGGCACAACTTTTGCTAAGGATGCCTGCGTCTCTGCCACGCCAAGCTCCTGCTGTCCCGGTGAGCTCTTCCTTCCCGAGGAGAAGCAGAGACGAGCAGCCTTGTTCAAGGTAAGTGCCGAGGAGTGTTTCTGCGTGGCGGGCCGCTACCGGCTGGACGACGCCACCGCCTTTTCTAACGTTTTTTCCTTGCGGTGAATCGGATGATTCCCTCAAAAAAGGCGATGCGGGCAGCAGCTCCGCTGAGTTCTTTGACTCAGAGTCACACAGTGAATCGAATGACTCCTCAGAGAAAGATGATGCTGGAAACAACCTCGCTGCCCCTTCCCTCCTGGAGAGCGTAGTGACGGAAGAAGAACGACTGAGTGGATGCTCAGCCACCTCGGGTGTTCCTTCGTCGGCGACTACACTGCTCCCAGCCATCGGTGCCCTCCTCTCGGAGCTGCCCGGCATAATCCAGGAGGCTGCTGACACAAAGGTACTTTTCTGTCCCTCGCCTCTCTCCACCTCCACCCTGATCGGATGATCTGGCGGAAAGGTTTGGCTTTGCCCCGGCTCGTCGCCCTGATCCCATCTGGCCTCGCTGTCCAGCTGTGACATCACACTGGAACGAGGCTGCATCTGGGCCCGGCAAACTGAAGACATCCATTTCCACCTTCGCCTCCATCTCCAGAGTGGAGGGTTTTACCGATTTGTGTCCCCCCCCCCCTGCAGCTCAGCTCCGTCGTGTCAAACCCTGCAGCGTAGTGACAATTCTGCCTGTCATGCGACTCCTGAGACCATGTCAGCGGCCCACATCGTGGTTCCGCTGGGCCTACTTCACATGAGACGCCTTCAGAGATGGTTCGCCCGCCTGTGCATAGATCCTATGCGCCAGAAGAGGCGGATCATCTTTGTGCCCCATTCCGTGAGAACCAATCTGAATCACTGGGGAAACCCCGTCATTTTGTCAGAGGGAGTTCCCATCAGCAGGCCTACGTCACATGTCTCAATTTTCACAGACGCATTCCTGTCAAGCTGGGAGGAATGTGTCTGTCCCAAGCAGTGGTAGCACAGTGGCTGGACCACATGCCACTTCACATAAATGTGCTAGAATGTTTCATGGTCTGAAACGTGACTCAGCACTTTGCCCCTGCTGCGGGATCAGCATATTCTGATCCACACAGACAACAAGGTGACGGCAGTTTACATAAACCGTCAGGGAGATAGATGTGCATTCAGCCCAACTGTTGCGCATCGCGAAACAGCTGTTGTGTTGGGCACAGAAAAACCTGCTCTCCATCACAGCAGTGTACATTCCCAGCATCCTGAACAAGTGAGCGCTCTCCTCCAGGCAGGAAGAGCAATCAGGAGTTACCCAGAAATAGGTCAGCATCTTTGGGTCTGTCCGCTGAACGGATCCGTTTAGAAAAAATGGCCTCCCACAGGATGTGGTGTGTACGTTTCAGGGCGCACGAGCTGCTTCCACCACAACGCTGTACACATCAAGTGGATAGTTTTTCAGCGCCCGTGCTCAGAGGAAGACGTGGAGGCCATTTCATGTCCACTGGGTGGCATGCTGTCATTTGAATAGCAACCGTTGGACAGAAATTTAGCTATTTCTTCTTGTCATGAGGTTTTTCAGTGACAGAACAGTTCCTAACCACCCGTTGATGAAGCGTTTCCTGAAAGGTGTACAGAGACACAGACTGGTGTCACGTCCACCAGCTTCACAGTGAGACCTAATGATGGTCCTGCACGCTCTGATCAAAGCTCATTCTGAGCTTTTAGATCAGGTTTTACTTAAATTTCTGTCATTTAAAACAGCCCTGCTGTTAGTTCTGATGTCGGCAAAGAGAGTGAGTGTTTGTTTGCTCTCTCTGTTGCTCCTTCATGTCAAAATTCAAGCTGATGGCAGTTCAGCTGTATTGCGTTTTAACCCTGCTCTGAAAAGCATCACAAGCTCATTCAGATAGAGAGTGATAACCTTGGATGGGTTTTATCCTCTTCCTCATAATTCTGAGGAGGAAGCGACATCTCACCTCCTTCTGTTCCTTGCACGCGTTTTCATGTTACGTGGCGCACACGGCCGCACTGCGCCGCTTTCAGCGTCTGTTCGTGCATTACAGGGACGGCTCTTCAGGACGTCCTCTATCCACCCAGCGCTTCTCACACTGGTTGTGTCTGGTTATTTCTGAAGTTTACAGTTCATCTGGACTGGATCCTCCAGAGAATCTCAGCGCATTCCACCAGAGGGTTTTCATCCTCCAAGGCTCTGCATGGAGGGATGATAGTGGAGGATATTTGTATGGCGGCTGCCTGGTCATCACCATGTTCAATTATTCGTTTTTATCTACGTGATGTTTCTACTTTCTCCACGACCCATTCTGTTCTCAGGGTTATGACAGAATGATTATTTGTTTCATGGAGCCTCACTTTTAAGCTCACACCTGCCTGCATGCAGTCGCAGTGTGAGATATTTATTATCAGCCACAAGTTCATGACTGCTGATTTTATTGTTATTAATCCGTTCATCCTGAGGAGCTGTTGGTCTGCTCTGTTCATCATTACACTGTTACAATTCGTATCCTCCGTTGTTCCTATTCACAGCAGCAGGTCTGCTATCTCAGCCTTTTTCCTCACCAGAGATCTTCTCCGGTGCGCTCCTGCACATGGAGCACGCAATTACGCAGCACGTAATTACGCACACAGAAGGTTGAGTGATGAAATGTTTTTTTGTGCAAGCAGGTGCTTCATGTTGTGTCTGAGTGGACCCAGTGAGGCATATAGACTACATCCTGCTTCGCCTTTAACCCACTAGCGATAGCTTAAAGGGCGAAGCCTATACGAAATAGAACATTGGTTACGTACTGTAACCCCAGATTCTATGAGTATAGATGCAGCCCTTTAAGCTCTGGGCCTCACTGGTTAATAAATGGCTGAAGAAAAAAGCTATTTGGGAGCCGATTACCTGGTCTCACCATAATTTATACAGACTGGGGGTCAGGCCCACACAGCAGGTGGGAGTGGACTCAAGTTTTCAGTGCTGCGCTGCGCGCGAAGGGATAAACCCGCTAGCGATAGCCTTAAAGGGCTGCGCCTATACTCATAGAATCTGGGGTTACAGTACGTAACCAACGTTTTTATTTGTCAGACTGACAGATTTCTGCCTCAGAATGATTTTATTTTATTCAAAGGGAATTTAGTTTAAAGTTTTCTGCTCATGCACACATTTTAATACAATTTATATTTCATATTTGATCACTTGTTGAATTACATTTATCACAGAACATTGGGGGAGTAGTGGCGCCAAGGTTAGAGAAGGTGGGCCTGTGATTGGAAGGTTGCCGGTTCGACTCCTTGGACCGACGACATCAAAATGTGGGTGGGAAAGGCGAAGCACACACACCTGCTTCCACCCTTATTTGTTGCACTCTGGGCCCTTGAGCAAGGCCCGTAACCCCCATCATCTGCTCCCCCGGTGCCCTAGATGGCAGCTCTGCTCCACACAGAGGGCAGTGGTAGCTCGGTGGTCTGTGGTTGTGTTAGGAAGAGCATCCAGCATATAAACAATTGCCAAGTCTTCATGCAAGTTACTTTGTTGTGGTGACCCCTGAGGAAGGGAGCAGCTGAAAGAAGAAGGAAAAAAGAAAGGGAAAAAAAAATAAAAATTACATACACCACAATGTGATTCTAAATATAAACAAGCTCAGCACATTTAAATATCCAATACCTTCTTACATGAGGGAGTGGTGGTGCAGAGGTTAGAGAGGGTGGGTTTGTGATTGGAGGGTCACCAGTCAACCCCTGGTTCAGCTAACATTAAAATGTGGGTGGGAAAGGTGAAACATCCACACCTGCCTCCATCCTCATTTGCCCTACTCTGGGCCCATGAGCAAGGCCCTTAACCCCCCACAGCTGCTCCCCGGGTGCCCTAAATGGCAGCTTTCTGCCTCACATGTGCATTGGGAAAAATGTAGAGAATTAATTTCCCCATTGGGGATTAATAGAGTACAATTAAAAAAAAAAAGTTGTAATCTTATGTAGAATTGAAATTTTCAGATTTTATGATGAACTACAAACTCTACAAACGTGTTTTGGTGTTAATATTTTAATCCAAGAGCTAAAGAGGCAGATACCATGAGTCACAACGAGAAAGAGAGACACTCGGGCTTTGTGCTGTCCCGTGGCTGGGCCCTCTCTGCTAGCAGGAGTTTCGTCCTGCTCACCAGTTGGACATGTTTGTACGTCAGTGATGATGCTCTGGACGCATTAACACTTAATACAGTGTTAATGCGTTGATGTATCAGCTTTGGCGTCCATCCTGACTGTAGTGAATTGGTCACATGTGAACAACTTTACTAGGTCATATCTGTACGTGTTTTTAACTGTATGTTTTTTTTCTGCAGCTTTAACATTGCACTGTGGCCTGTGTGGTCCTTCTTCACTCCACTCATTCTCTTCACACAGTTCATGGGTGTGATCATGTTCATCTCTTTGCTTGGATGAATGAATAAAGGTGAGCGTGTACACCTTTTTAAAATTCCTCAATGAGTTATGTAATTCAAGCAAAATGTTCACTCTTTGTTGCTTTAATGTTTTATGTTTAGTTGGTTGTAAATTGTTAAAGTGAATGAGTTTTTCAGTTTTTTATTTTTTGAGTGCTAAAGGTGTGTTAACTCCACGAGTTTTCTAAAGATGGAAGTTAAGTTCAAAGATTTATTGTTAGTGGTTAGTGGGAACAGTTTTTCTTTACGTAATTCTTTGTGAGGAGCATGGAGCCCTAGGCGTGACTGAGGGATGAGAGTGGCTTTTAACTTTGAGTAATCTTTGTGATTTATATTGGAGCAGACAGTTGAATACTGGGTGGATGCATAGAAGGTAAACTAACAAACTGGCAACAAGTGGTGAGGAGACTGGTTTTAGATATCCGGTAGATTGAATAATGAATCACAGTAGGGCAGAGCAGACGGAGGGAGATCTGGCTGTCACGCCAGGAAACGTACGCAGCAAAGAATACAGCTGGTGGACAACGGGCTGCCAAACTATCACAGTACCTCCTCAACGGGATCCTCTATGTTCCCCAAGCTGGTTTGGGGGAGCTCTTCAGTAAGTCAGTGGTTCCCTTATAAAGCAATGACGCAGTTTGGTTCTTGGTCACACTCAATCAGGAGCACAGTTTTTACTTTGGCCACAATGAACAGTTACATTCCTAAAGTCTACGTCTTTCATTGAAAGATCTTTCCTGGTGGATTTCCTTCCATTCCCAGAAGTCTTCATCTCAGAGGATTGAGTAGATGGGAGAGTCGGTTGGGAGGTGTCTCTGCAGCAACTTGATTTCTGTCTGAGGTGTTCTCTCGCGCAATCACAGTAGTCCCTCGTTTATCGTGAGGGTTACGTTTCGACGCACACACCCCCCCCGCCCCCCCCAGCCGCCCACTGCGAAGTAGAAACACGATATTTTAGTATCTATATATATATATATATATATATATATATATATATATATATATATATATTTGAATGCTTTAGAAACTCTTCCCACACTCTTGCAATGTTCTAAACTCGTAAACCTACATCATTTTAATAACATACATATATGTACTGCACAGTAGCTAACGAGTCCATATCTGGATGAAAAAAGTCCAGGTGAGCTCTGGAGAAAACACTGGACCACTGAGCAACGCCTCCCAGCTCGAGAGGCCTCATGGGCCGGCAAGTAGCATTCAGATGGATCGATGAAGCTGGAAATCTGGTTCTGGTCCAATTCCCTGTCGGTTCCATACGGCTCTCTGCATCCACAGAGCGCCGAAGTATGAATTAGGAGGACCGAAGTTTTTTTTTGGATCAGATCAAAACTTTCCCTCCATTTCAGCAGAAAGCAACACCTCGATGCACTGTTGGCTTCTGGGTAATGTAGTCCTTTTGAGGGGCAATATAGTGTAGGCTTATTATTGAGAGAAAACAACTAAATGGCGGCTGTCAGAAATGTTTTTCTTTAACTTTTTACTGTTTCCCGTACTGTCCCAATCATGTGCGTAATACTAAAGTTGACAGTCGTGTGTCATGTAGTCGTTTTTTCTCCTGTACAATATTATTTTGAAAAACCACGAAAGAATGAGTCCACAAAAGTCGAACTGCAAAGTAGCAAATGACTACTGTATCCAATGCAATGTTGAGTGAAATCAGAAAGGAGTGTACAAAAAAAACTTTACTGAAAGCTTATTCTTCCAATGTTAGAACTCAAAAGGCATGTTAGTAATTAAAATGACTGGAAAATTACAGAGATTTTATTCACAGCACAAACCAATTTAAAAACAAAAATACATTTACTTTATTTTACTTTAATTAGTTTTATTTAATGTTGACGGCTCTGCTGCCCCTGACCAAACATTCCTTGTCTGAGGTGAGGCAGAGCGATGAAAATGGCTCAAAACTTTCTAGTAATCCTCTGTGATTTTGAGTACAGTGCTAATACTGGGTGGATGCGCACAAGATGAATTGATAACCTTGCTAAGTGTGAAAAAAGACTGATCTGGTAGATGGGATAATGAGTCACTGTTGTGCAAGGTGGATCAGAGGGATCTAACCTGCCACACCTAGAAACACATATAAACACAGAGGAGCAAAATAACACAGCAGGAAGGAAGGGTTACCAAACTCAGAGCATTAAGTGGTTGTCAGTGTCCTGCTTGCATCAGAAACAACTCATCTGTGCAGCTAGCCACTGCTTTTTGTCTTCAACTGAAACAATGCAAGCTTTAAAAGTTTCAAGTAAACATTACAAAATGATTATTAAAACAGTCCACCTGGAAAGTTTCAAGTACTTCATGCTTCACTCTACTGACAAGTATTTTCACGATGCTGATTTTATTTTCCAGCAGGGCTTGGCACCTGCCCACACTCCCTAAAGTACCAAAATCTAGTTTGAGGACTTTGGTATCATTGTGCTTGACTGGTCAGCAAACGGGCCTGACCCAATCCCCAGAGAAACTCTGTGGGGTTTTGTCAAGAGGTAGATGAGACACCAGACCAAAATGCAGATGAGCTGAAGGCCATTATCAATACAACCGGGGTTTCCATAACACTGTGACTGTGCCATAGATGTAATAATTTATGCAAAAACTATATTTAAATTATTACTCTGTTCTGACCAGCAATAAACAAAATTTATTGTACTTGGAAAATGTAAAGACATTTGACATTTGATGGTGCAATTCCTGGAAACTATGTGAAACTATATACATTTCAATATTTGAAATCAAAACATGGTACTATTAATATTAATAATGGTACTTTTATAATGCTGAACCTTAATGTGGCATTATTGTAATTTTCCATTTAATTGAAATATTCATCCGGAGATGTTTAGGTTAAGAACGTGCACTGACTGTCTTCACAGCTGGATCAGTGGTATGATGGTGATACATGTGCCTTACCCAAAAAAATAAAATAACATGTTGGCGTGCACTAACAAGTGTTCCCTAAATCTTTCACTACTCATAAAATAGTGCTCCAAATTTCAATCGTATCTATTTGCAATGTTATCATTTATCTTTATTACTTTGTGTTTTCTCAGCTTCTCTTCCCTCAAACCTTTATGGCTTGGACTGGCTCGGATCAGAACTCTTGGATTATTGGCGTTGTATGCTAAAGTTATTATTCTGCTTGTTTCTTTTTTTTTATTATTATTTCAGTGTTTTTCCAAAGGAAGAATTGGAAACATTTGAGAGGACAGCATCAGGCCTGTCCTAAAGAGCTTCAGCTGATGTCCTGGTCCACAACAGCTTCAGTGTGGACTCCTTGTCATTGCGGACCTGTTTCACCAACACACTCCGATGCTGTCCCTTTTAGATTCTTCAGGGACCAAGTACCAGACACGGGTGTAACAAAGCCTTCCCCACCTCAGAAACAGGTCCATGTCAACGTTCAGAAGCCTAACCATCACTCACAGCTTTACAAGTGCTTTTAATGTGACACAGTTTTTAAGTGCTACTTTTTGTGTTTGCTATACATTTTTTTAAGTATTTTGACTTGGCAGCAAAGTATTTAACAATGTGAGAAAGTTAACATATATTTTTTTTAAATTTAGGTATTTTCTTAGTTTGGTGTGTGTAATCTTAGGACATTTGTCCATTATATTTCCCGTATTAATGTTTTTTTCTTAATAAATTGCAACTTTTACAGTATATGTATTTTCTGTGAATGTATGAACTTGCAGGCTAAGTCTTAGACTACAGTGCACCCATTAGTCTCCATCTGTTTCACAAATAGTTGTGGTAAATGAATCAACCGATGGGATTTCTTCACTACCCAAAGTCCACTTTACAAGATCATGCATTTGTCAAGTTTGATGGAGCGTTTTTCAGATGCAGACGAAGGCAAGGAGTTTAAAATGATCAAATTTCAACTTTATTAACAAACTTTTTAAAAAGCTAACGAGGCAGCATACTAGAAAAACTAAATAGGATTACATTTTTTTTACAGAAAACATCATAATGCTCAAAATGGACTGAAACCTGATCTCAAACATAAACCACCATCAAATAATAATCAAATTGCACCAATCCTCACATCTTTACCCATTCACGTTCAATGTTGGCCAAAATTGTGGCCTTTTTTTTTACAGGCCAAGAAAAATAAAGAAAAAGTCCCAAAATGATCTTTAGAACAAATTGAAATCGCTAAGCAAGTTGGATATTATATAAACTTGTTAAATTCAATTTGAGGTTCTAAAAATATATCTTGACTGGAAATAGCTGAGAAAGATTAGACAAGAAAACAAAGAATAAATACATGGAGAGACATGGCTGATAGAATTCTGCTCATAGGCTCTTACAAATAGATTTTCTGTAAACAACAGTACAAAACGTAAAAACCTACTCTGATGTATTTTTCTGGAGTAAACTATCACTTTGAATAAACTAAATATCTTAATACTCTGTAATTGACAGCTTAAAAATGGTGATTTTTTGTTGTTGCCTCACTCTGAGTATATGGTTTCACTGAGACTTTGAGTCATTCACCTCCTTAACCTGTTTACGATTTTGATCGAAGCAGCCACAGCCTTTCAAAAGGTTGCTCAAAGACTCAGATTTTCTTACATCTTACGGTAAGTTTTAAGTTAACCCAGAAGCATTCAAGAGGAAGAGGAAGAAGGAAGATTCTGTGGTCTTAAAGTCTTTTTCCCAAGAGAGTCTCACTGACTGGATGATGTCTTCAGCCTCTTTTTTTATTTGTGCACTTTGTACAGGTGCTGAGGTGCATCTAAAAATATTAGACAATTGCTTTGTCAATCATTTCAGAAAGTGAAACTCAGATTTATCGCACATGGAGTGAAATATTTCAGGCCTTAATTTCTTGTAATTTTGATTATCATGGCATACACATTAACTTCGAAGTGAAGAAAAAAAGTCACTGAGTGCACAAAACTGCAGCTGAAATGGTAAAAGGTTTCTAATTATTCTAAATGTATGCAAATTAGCTTTTGCTACTCGGCTTACCATCTTAAAAATGACCCAATCACCAGGACATGAAACAGGAAAAGCATTTACCAGTATGTAGAGACTAAAATGAAGAGGACCCAGAACTGAGCCTTGTGGTACACCTGTGTTCATTTTAAGACTGGATGATTTCTCAACAGAAATAACGGCTCACTGCTCACAATTGGCAAAATTTAAATCGCTGTAAACTTGTCTTGGAAAATTTAAGCTTTGATTTTTTTTTTTTTTTTATTAAAATATGATTTGGTGTGTCAAATGCCTTTTTAAGATCTAAAATACTGCGCCAAGTACTTTACGCTGATCAAATGATTTGATCTGTTCAATAAAGTATCAAGTAACCTTCTCTGTGGAGTGATGGGCACGATAAACAAACTGTAAAGAATTTAAGAAATTATTTGCTTTGACGTGCTTCATTAATTGATGAGCCACCACCCTCTCCAACATTTTAAACCCAGACAAAATGTTTATGGGTCTATGTTTACATGCCAAATCAGGTGCCCCAGATTTGAAAATGGGCATAATTACCTTCCATCATTGGATGATTAGATGAAAAAACATGAAGAGAGTCACTCAGACACTGACATGGTTGTCTACAAAAGTTTAAAAAATAATTTTACCAAAGATTTAAGGGATGCAAAAGCTGAATTTTATATATCTGCAATTAGAGATAATTCAGTGTTCTGCCATTTGGAAGCAAATAAATAGTATCTATATATATATATATATATATATATACATATATATACATATATATATATATATATATACACACACA